CAGTGACGCCTCATAAAGAATCGTGGAACGAGGCGGCAACTTTTAAAGGTATTAAAGGGAGCGTTGCAGTTTTTAAACAACAACAACAACATCAACAACAACAACAAAGTACCGACCTTCATTAACAATCGAAAGAAAAACCGAACCGCAACAACATCCGCTGACTTTCAGGGAAGGAATGCAGGGAAAAAGGTTAGCTCCAAGCAGCCTGTGTTCCCTGTTATTTAACCCCAGCGCATGAATGCCAACCGTTGAATATTTTATTAGAGTGGAGAGCGACACTGAGCATTAGAGACAGTCTTCTGAGGGGCCAGAACTACCAGTCGCTAAAATGACCCCGATTCTTTCCATGCAGGAGCTCCATCTTACCTCCAAACCTAATTTACTGAACAAGCAACCTCCTCTCCACACCAGTCGAAACATTTAGCCTTTCGTGGAAGTCAACCAGTTTGTAAAAACATTAGAAATAATAAAACTTCTGATGTGATTTTTATTTTATTTTATTTTTATTTATTTTTTTTACAGATTACTACATTTGAGGAATTTTTTGCAATGCTAAAATAAGCAGGACATTGATACTCACTGTGTGATGGTGTTCTGTACACTTTTCTCATTGAGCGTCATTCCTGGGGGTGGATCATTTTGCAGAGCTAATAATTCCTTTTGTAGCCGTTTCTGTCGAAAAGCATATGTCACAAAACGGCACTCGAACATGACTTAAAGGAAAGCAGTACAAAACAACTTACTAAGGCCAAACAGAGGAGCATTAAAATACATTTGACTTGTACACAGTAACGATGACATCAATGGAAATTATCGTAATGTAATCTAGTGTTATATAATTTACATCTTAAAACTAAGTTCAGTATGATAATGTGTTAAATAATGACTATACTCGAAAATAATAATGAATACTTTTAAGTGTGAAAACAACAAGTATGAAAAAATTACCATACATACAAACTGACAATAAATGCATTTATATAGATAGATTATTTAAAAGATGGAATTAGGAAAAGAAAGTGTCAAATTTAGAAAACAAATGACATCAACATCACCTCAGTGTCAACGTGTGCAATATTGTAATTGCTAAGAGGACAGCTTGGATGCAATATTTGATGGGCTATTATATTTCAAGTGTCATGCATCCGTTAAATGCATTTGGTCAGTTAGATGTGCTCTCAATGTCCTAAATTACACACACTTGCTATACTCTATGTTTTAGGAGGCGAGATGCTAATGCTTGAAGAGTAATGAGGACATGATAGAAAAGAAGAGTGAGAAAAATGTGGATTAAACGCAACAGATCTCATTGTGATATTCAACAACAACGTGTTAAAGAGCATATTTTCCCAACAGGGCTCAGTTTCATTCAAATATATTTTCTTTCAAGGTACATTTCAACAGGTCAAGCAGGTTTACCTACATAAAGGACCTACATCCTTAAATATTTTGCTGTTCAATCAGCTATGGTTTTTGTTGAAGTTGCACAGCCTGCAGCAACAAATTTACAAGGGTGTTGAAGAGATATGAAGAGTTGTAGCAAACATGCAAAGACAAGCGATCTCCTCGTGTTTCTTTTGGCAATAAGTTTGGCTGTGTAAAAGCCTTCGAGAGTGCATTATTTCACAATAGAACTATATACTTTGTCAATACCGTGTAGATTTTTTTTTTTTTTTTACTTTCTCAGGCTCTTGTTTAATCAGGAACAGGGATGAGTTGGGGTGCATTGTCATGGTATAAAAAAACTGGGGAAAAAAAAATAACATTATGATCTTAATAGGAGGAATAGCTTGCACTCCTGAAGTTTCCACGCTATTTTTTTTTTTCAGCCAGAAATATTTTCAAGCCAAGTCTGTGTTTTTATAAACAAATGATAGAAGGGTAGCAGTTTTCTTTCAACCATCTAACCAGAAGTGGTAACTTGTTAGATAGCTAACCAGAGCTGAGTGGGATTACTCTTTGCAAAAATAAAAAATAAAAAAAAATTGCGGAAACACTCCATTAAGCTCTTTCTCTTGCATCAAAGTAAATCGTAGGAAGGAATATTTATTGGTTTTGAAACGGGAACTTTTAGTAGCCTTGGTACTGCCTCATATCTAATCAGGACTGGTTGTGAGCTGGTAATAAAGCAAGTAGTAGCTAGATCAACCAGTTTACATACATGGTAGATAAATATTAAATAAATACAGATCTTTGTTTATTTTAAAAAAATATATAACTTTTAAGTCGTCAGGTTTTTTCAGGTTTTTAATGTGCACTTTTCTATGACATTATGCCGCATGTATTTAGTTAATCTCAACAAATATACCGGTGTTGATACGGACAATTAAAAACATGTTTAAACGATCTGACTCGAGAGTTAACGGTAAGTAACAAACCCAGTAGAGAGTTAATAATAAATGGATGCATTTTCATCAATAACCTACAATTGACGTTCCATAATCAATACGTTCTTTACGTATTGTCTGTCGGGTCTCTTTTGACTTTTTGCGTCTGTTGTACGGAAGCGATACACCTGTTCAGGTCCGGTTGAAACTGTATTTAACTGCGCACCGTGTCGTTAGCGAACTAGTCGACCAAACAGCGACCAACTATTAAAATGACTTCCAAAATTGTCAGTACCACATTTCCTTAAATTATCACCCCTTGTCCTTCTGAGAAAAAGCCACAGGCAAGCATCAACACGTAGGAAGCTAGTTTCCCTGTCCTCTTCAGCTTGCCGATGATGATGAAGAGCTAATACTGCTGCTAGCAAAAACCAAGCGCCGAACCTGAGTAGTTTAGGGATACATTTCACGGCTTCCACCCAAATGTCAGTGCCGCTCTTTGATAAATACACATACGCAAATAAACTGGCAGTCAAAAGCCGAGAAAGATCAAAACGGAGAGCCGGTAAATTACATATATTTGCTCGCTATTAATTGTATCCTTACCTGCATCGACGCCATGATGGAAACCCCCCCCTCCCCTCCTGCATCAGCGCAGAGTGGAGAACTGTGCGTCAGGGAGTCACGTGACGACAGAAGTTGTTTTGACAGTGAGAAACGCTTCACGTTGCCTGACTGACGCATCGCCTACACCCAGGTCACTGCTCAGTCACTTCAGGTCGCTCACAAAATGTGAGGCGGGTGTAGAGCTTCAACAGAAATTTTAATAAGACAAAAAAAAAAAAAAAGAAGTATGCGGGGTTAAAAGCAGGAGCTCACATGACATAAGCGTCAGCCAATGACCTCTGCGCAAGGAGGGCTAAACCTGTGTGACATCATGAGTAAAGGAAAATGCTAATTTATTTGATCATTTATTACATTTATATGCACACAATATCTACCCCAGTTAATATTTTTATGTTAGAATTAGTAATGTGTATTTTTTTTTTCCAACAGCTTACGAATTTTATCAGCTTTGTTCTGTTAAAACAGAATATTTAATAAATTTGAATATCTTTTAACAGCTTATTTAATTAATTGGATTTTTAAAGTCATAAATTGCATAAATTCAACATAGATATTTTAACTGTTTTTTATTAATGTTGATGCTTGTGCAGAAAAAAAATTACAACTGATTTAATTAACCATTTTTTGTTTTTTTAAATACCGAGATATGATGTCATGGTTATTCATTAGAGCACACAATCAAAGTGAAAACTGATTAGAGAGGTCCAGATGGCATTCATTAACACCATCCAGAGGTTTAACAAAAATAACAGTTGTAGTTCATGGATGTGTCCATATGTAATGACTTAAAATCCAACTCCACTTACAGTTCAATCTCCCCCAATCTTCATAAAACTATGGTTATCATTGTTGGTTGTGTACCTTTTCTTACCACACTTTTTTCCTTCCACCCAACCTTCCATTTCCATCTGCACTCTGTGAACAGTCAGCTTTATTTTTTTATGGCCTGCTGTCTTTGCAGAATGTGTATTTGTGAGACAATCATCACATCAGTAATCACCCTCATGGATGTACAGACAATAATGGAGCATTTCTAGATCAAATGTCCTTTTAACTGTATGCCATAATCATAACAAACATTAATGCTTGAATTACATTGTGTGCAATGAATCTGTGCAATTTGATTTTCACTTTTTGTAATGATTCATTAAAATAATCTTAGTGTGCATGGATACAACAGATTATTTTGCTATATTCTAATTTTATGAAAACTCAGTTTTGGGTTTTCATAAGATGCAAACTATATCAAAAATTGCAGAAATACATATATTTAATATGTAAGTGCAATTAATTTATTTCCAAGTTTCACTGAAACTCTTAAGACATATTCTAATGTAGTGAAAGGTGCCTGAGCAAGCTCTTACCTTATATCAGATTTTGAAAAAGTACAAATTTTTCAGATGTAAGCTGTCATACCCAATATGTCACAATATAATTTAGAAACACGTATTCTCATTGTTTACAATATGTCACAATATAGTTCAGAAATATGTATACTCATTGTTTACTGAAATTCCTCCAGCAGTTGATCACGTTTGGAGTAAGCGGCACAAGTTAAATATTTCAGAATAAATATTGCATGAAAGTTTTAATATGTTTAAAAACCTTTATGCAATTAAGAAAAGAGAAAATCTGTAGGCACCCTGTTTTAATTAGGACACATTTGAAGTAATTCTTTTTCAAACATTTGTGCCCCATGTTCAAAAATATGGAAAGCCTAATGCATTTTATTTCACACTTGTGGAACTAAAGCATTCAAAACACTTGAATCCCGTTTACTGTAAAAATGACATTTATGTTTGCGTTTCATGCAGAGAAGCAGACACCAGAGGAAAAACTGCTCACCGAACAGGCATTTATTTACTATGTAGAGGTCAGGACATTTCTGTGGAATGTCCGCCTGGCTTCCATTTTAAAATGACATTTTTTAGTAATTCAAGGGAAACCATGACAACAGAAAAGAAGCAAAAAAAAAAAGTATAATGTGAAATAAATTGCAAAACAATTAAATACTGGAAGGAAAAAAAAAAAAACTCAAAAGAAAATGTTTCAGGTTTTTACATCCATGTTGTAACTTTAACAATCCAAAAAATTCGCAGCCATGAGCAGTTCCAGAGCGATCTCGGGAGCGATGGGGAACTCTGGTATTTCTGTGGAGCTGTTGGTATAACGGACCTTGTAGGTGAAATACATGCAGACCTTGGACAGGACGTGGGACGGGATCTCCCTGAAGTTCACCTCGTTGGTTTCGTTCTCCGCAAACTGTCCTGCAAGGTTGCAAAAAGCGTGAAGCAGGCCAATGAGAAAACTTGTGACAAACAGGTTTGACGACTCGTAGGCAAGCCACTTCTGGTTTTGTAGGACACAACTTAAAAAATCCCCCCCGCACCCCCCCCAAAAAAATAAAAAAATTAGAGAAGAAAGTGGGGGGGGGGGATGCATTTTTTCTATTAATATCTGCACAAGACTAATGGTGCATATTTGTCTGCAATTTAATTACCTTAAAAACATAACTGTTTTCAGATTTTACACTCAACTCCTCAATTGGGCAAATCCTGCACCAATCAGTAAGAGTTCAAGAGTCCTAACATGTGTGTGAGGAGAACAGACCTGAGTAAACCTCTGCTTAAGTCAATCAAGCGTGTTTAAATGTTGTAAGCCAAACCTGGACGCAGAGAGCTATCTTGAGCTGATTACCTACACGGTAGCGTGTTTGATTAACTCTAAAACCACCAGGGGCTAGTTTGACTCCCTGAGGATTTTCATCCTTGCAGCTGCAAGGGCATGGATCCTCTTATGACGCCGGTAAACGCTGACTGCATCCGTGGCGCAACACAGAACGGAAAACTCGAAGCAATACACCAAATATGTTATGAATCTCAAATATTTTGGACATAAAGTGAAGAGTCAAAGAGTGATGCAATTACCAAAAGAAAAAGAACGGGGGACTTCAACATCAATTGCACCATATTTAAGGAATCTTAAGAAACACGGGTCATTTACAAAATGTCTCAATACATTTTTCTTGCATGGTTCCATCATGGACTTCACTGAAAAACCCTGAAAAATTTCTCAAAGGAAAAATTTAAAAAAATGCCCGACATGGAAAAACATAGCTTCATGCGACAAAGTGACTAAAGGGATTAAAACCAAAACATTTTTCATCAATAAAGAGTCAAAGCTGAAATGTACATATTGTGGATATTAGTTCAGATTAGACATAATCTTTGCCATCACATATTGTAAAGAAAAAGCAAAGCGTTAAAAAGTTAAACAATCAGATTTGAGTCCTCAAGCAACTTTGAGTCCTGAAACGTGAAGACTATGGCTTCTATTGTCTATAATTATTAAACAACACGGCTTTATACATCCACAACAATCAGTGATTCATTTTCTATCAATCATTACTTGTAATCAACAGCTAGATAACACTGACCTGCTTTATCTGAATTAAGTAATTTACTGACAAAATGACAAAAATGCTTCACTTGAAATAACCATTACAACAAAACTATTACAGTGTTGGTGTTCATAAAAGGATGTGTCCGTGAGAAAAATGGCAACTAACTACTAATAATTGTTTTGTGGCATCAAGTCATGTTTTTTTTTTTCTCACAGAAGGCGGCAATGAAGATCAAAACATAATTTGAGAAAGGATCCACAATGTCTGCATTTCAGTTTTGTTTTTCTTTTGTGAGACGACAAGACTCATAATTATTGGTCCTAATTTTAATTCTTTAAATCATGTTAACAATAAAAAAAAAAAAGGAAGGAGCTTTGTAGTTTGTTTGTTGTGGTCACTTTATATTCAAGAGGGCTGCGCAGTAGATAGAAAGGCATTTATCCTCTATCCAGGATATCCAGAACCCTAAACATTATGCCCTCTGCATGAACTTTTTGAACTGTTGTCATCAGCTGTCAGGCTAACTGTAGCAACCGTATCCAAAATGGAACCACAAGCTGGCAAAAACAGACCTACCAGCCACCTCGTGTCACTGCCGTGGTTTTTCTTTAATCTTACCTAGAGATATTTCCCATCATTAATCTCTTTACTGCTTCTTCACAATGTTTTCAAGCTTCAGGAAATGTCTACTTTTGTTGTATGTTATTTAATGTACAACTAATACACCCATTTGATTTGGAATCCACTCCTTTTACAAAAATATCCCTACAACACAAAAGTCTTGCCAGGCAAGAGAACCATAAACAAAATGCTGATCAAAGCATTTTACAGCTCAAAAACAATTTTTTAATCATAAAGAAGAGCTCAAATGCCCTGGCTTAGTCCTCACCTGGGCCACTTAACATGGCTTTGATGGTTCCCGATGTTAAGGCATGTTCTCTTTTCACAATGAATTCATGGCCGTCTGAGGAGATGAGCTTCACATACATGGCATCTGGCCCTTCACAGCCACCAAAAGTTCTCTCCTCGCCATCTGTCAAGTCATAATATAAAAATGACAATCTGAGACTAAATAGCACAGTGGCAAACGATCTCTAGCCGTTTTTTTTCAGTTAACTACCGAAAAACAAACTGTGAAACAGCAAATTGATTTTATGGACTGACAACAGAATTTTTTTTAATAAAGGTAGAGATAAATGTGTGACATGACTCCTCACCCATCTTGTTCCGGGATTTCTGTTAATCCTAAAAGCCAAAGTAGAAAAACACAGAACATAATTTAATTCGTCTAAAATTTAATTGAAAGATGTGAAAATGAGTAAACATCTGACATGTCAAACTGGTCAATTCTAAATAATGATTAGATTATTGACGGTAAAAAAAAATTATGTAAGCCCCATTCGGTTTACTGGAAGTGATTTCTGACAGTCACTGCGGAACTTTAAATTTAGCCAAGATAAACACTGTCCAGAAAATCTACAGACAGTTGCTAATGTACACATAAATATGTATAACTATGACATAAGCATGGCTATGTTTTTAGGAAGTTTCAACCATATCGGCAGCGGCCTGTTTGTTTTCAGATAATGTTTTTAAACGCGTTGGCGTTAGCAGTGGTAGCTAACGGAGCTAACTCATTTTAAAATAGACAAAATATCTTCCCAATAACTGATCTCTGTGTAAACAGCATAGCAGACATTTATTTCGGGAAATAATACAATAATGGGCATTTAGTCAAGATAAAAAAAGGTGTTCTTACCGCCGTGTGGATAACTGAGCTAGGGAGATAAAATTTCAGCTAACGTTAGCCACCCGGAACTAATTTGTTGGTGGTACCCGGTCGGTCCGCGATAAATGTGTTCCGTGTAATTTTTTTTCCTACCATGTGATATAAATATTTACATTTAATAAATACATACATTATGTATAAATATATTTTTTATTAATTAAAAAAATAGAAAATTACAAATTTAAATAAATATGCTCAATTATCCATATTTCTAAGAAACAACAGAAATACAACAACATATGGGCCAATCTCAAAGAAATACACTTTCTAAAGAAATAACTTACATCAAGCGTATTCATATACAAGTATATTCCCCGTGTGCTTCTTTTTTTTCAGAGGCCCAGCTTGATGATAATCTTCTGATTTTACCATATGGAATTCAGACTAATTAAGCAGTTTCAGTTGACAGGAACGTGTTTTGTAAAGTTTATTTGTTTTATTTTTATTTTTCTAATGATGTAAAACAAACAGCTGCCAGAGTTCAAGTTTGGATGTGATTATGTTTTAAAATAAAAGTCAAGGTGGTGGTACTTGGAGTATAAAAACCTGAGAACCACGTGGTAAAATGACTTTGAATTTGCTCTTGATTTACAGGTCATTGCGCTCTTTCTCCAAAAGGGGGCGCCTGTGCCTCTCTGCCTCCACCTCCCTTGATGAGTTAAAGCAGGTGGTTGTGGGACATGACAGAGACATTTTGCTAGCCCATAAATCTGGATTCAACAGAGAAGACGTGTACCGTGTACCCCTTATGCATTTTCATAGGTCCACCCAATAAAAATGAAACATATTATTAATAATAAAACATATCATACCAGTTTTATCTATTTATCTATTCATTTGATTTTAGAAAATGTAAAAAGTACACCACTTACAGTGGAGCTTTGCTACAAGGTTGAATAAAAGAACCTCCTTCTTAAACCAAATAATTCAGCTCGTCGTTTAAATCAAAAAGCTGTTAAGTTCATTCCAGCCCATTAAGCCCTTAAAACTCCAAACTCCAAAGCTATGTTCATAGTGTGACTTTGCCCATATCCTAGTGTGGAGTACTTTCAAGAGGAAAAGTGATGACTGGTGAAATCTGAGGCTTCCAAATGGACAGAGTTATCTGAGCTGTGACACTGACAGCTTGAACTCTGAGTGTGACTGTAAATTGCGCCGTTTGAACCAGAAGAGCTCACAGAGGGAGCACAGTGCTCCTCATATGCCGGGGTGATGAATTTTTGTATTGATTAGCACTTTGTTAATTTAGGATGTTTTCAAAAGGCCAACAGATTTCTGTTTTCCCTAGACATCTCTGGCCAGTATTTAATAACCGAGTGTGCCTATTGGTGGAACAGATGTCAGCAGCGACTCATGTAGAGGTGACATCTGACCTGGAGTTTCTGTCTGAGCTTTAGTTATCCTGTCATTTTATCTTCCTGAGTGGTCTTGCAACCTCTGCCACTGTCTGTGCTTCTTGTAAACTCTCGCACACAACTCACCCACAACTCACTCACGACCAAAAACAATCACTGACCTTCCATTACACCATTAGTACTTGATCATAAGTGGGCGGGAGAGAGCAGCCGCTTTGATGTCTTTCTGATATGACCCGCCCGGCTGCAGCTGCTCTCAGCTCTATTTTGGGGGGAAGGCTGCTGCAGGCCTTCAGAACAGGGCTTCCTAAACGCAACACATAAACATAGACAATACATACAAATTCTCTTGTCTGGCCCAGCCCCAACGACAGTCCCTTCAACCACTCTGAAGACAGTTTCACATGCCTCTCAAAGCTGGTGAGGAAACATTAGGGTGCAGGTAATAAGCAAGAAAAGGCAGCCGCCGTTTTATAAGTGAAGCATGAGACATATTACATACTTTTCATGGACCAAAAAACATGCATTCTGTTATATACAGTGCCTTGAATTTTAATTCTGCATACAATCATATCTTGATGTATTTTATTTGGGATTTTATGTGGTAAAGAAACGCAAAGTAGTGCATTATGAAGAAAAGTAAAGTTTAAATTTTTTTTTACAAATAAAATTCTGCTGTACCAAACTGCCTTCTGAAGCCATCCAATTAGTGTCTGCTTGTTTGTATGGTTTAAAGAAACTCAGTGTTTTGAACTTTTCTGGAAGATTATTCCAGATTAGCATAGTTAGATCAGAAAACATTGTCCGTGCTGAAGATTTCACAGATTATGGCACAAATATTAAGCTGCCCATTGAGTATGACTCATAGAAGTAGCCAAAAGTTGCATGGTAACTCTGGAGAAGCAGCAGAGATCAACAGCTCAGGGAGAACAATCTGCTGACTGGACCATTAGTGTAGTAGCTGTGCACTGCATAAATGTGCCCTTTAGTGGAAAGTGACAAATGGTAACCCATTGTTTTGCTTAACAAAAGTTTTAAAAATAGCTTCTTTTTTTTTCTTTCTAATTACTTAAACGAGCCATGTAGCAAATATACAGACAAAACATACTCTGTTCTAATGAGACCAAAATTAAACTTTCTGGCTTAAATATAAAATTATATGTGTAGCAGAAAATTTATAATATACTGCACATCACTCTGAACACAGCTTTTTCACAGTGAAATGTGGTGGACACAGCATGATGCCATGGAGATGTGCTTCTTCTGCAGGTACAGGGATGCTGGTTCAGAGCTAACAGGAAGATGGGAGCTAAATATAGGACAATACTTGATGAAAACCTGTAACAGGCTGCACAAGACTTGAGATTGGGATGGAGGTCAACGCTCCAGCATGGAGTCAGAGCTACTGTGAAGTCATTTAGATTAAAGCATATCCATGTGTTTGAATGGCCCAGTCAAAGTTCATGGCTAAATCTAACAGATTATCAGTAGTAGAGGTTTCATGATCCCTGGACTTCCAGGTTAGTTTTGCCTTAGATGAGTGTTCAGGTTCTTTTGGTGTGACTCGTTCCAGTGTTATGTTCTGTTCTGTCAGCTCATCGGTTCATGTCTTATCACAGCTGCAATTGGATCAACTTGCTCCTGTTCTCCGTAATCACCTCCACGGCATTCAAATACTGATGTGGTCAGTCCATTCCTTTCCAGATCCCTCCTTTGCTTACCCAGTGTTATCCTTTTGCACCTGTCTGATTCCGTGCCTGTCCTCCTCTTGTGTTTCTCACCGGTTTAGATCTCTCCCCACTTCCCCAGTGTGCTCTGTAAGTTTATAATTCTTGAGACTGCAACTCTACCACAACAAATCATGACAGATGCTGTCCATGTCATCTGTCTGAGCTTGAGGGACTTTTATTCAATATTTTCTATTGAATAAATATTTGCACCAAATTTTGTTGGTTTAAAGAAAATGATGAAATTCATGTGTCCTCTTCCTTCCACTTTGTAATTAAACAACGTTTTGTCTTTGCCGATCACAATATTTACCATTTAAGCTTGAATTATTCCCTCACTGAACACTTAACTCTTTTGCAGCATACATTAATCCTAGCTTGTTTATAACACCAGTTTAATAACTCAATACCTGTCAAATGTCAGTTCACTGCATCTTTCTGACCGGCGTTTTAATGAAGAAGTACGACATAAAACCAGGTCAAATTTTCTAGTCATGATGTGGAACAATGAGGTGGGGGCATTTCTGGCATTTCTTCCCTTGGGGTGGGGGGTGGGGGGGTTAAGGCTTGTCACAATGAATTTGGGGGTGCTGTTCCTTTAGCCTGCAGCCATTCACAGTGCCTTAAAATTCTCATGTCAGTCCTGATTTAAAGAAGCTCAGTCGGAACACGTAAGCTAAAAACAAAACCAAAACTAAAAACTCAAGTGTGAGTCATGAAACTACAAATTAGTTTAATAGCTTTATTCTTAACAATAATCATATTTAACACTTTTTTTCCCCCAATTTTTACTCATGTGGTGTCAAAGATATAATAACAGTACATTAGACTGTTATTTTATTTGAACCTGTTGTTATTGCATGTGCCACGTTGTCCCACATACACTCACTCCAGTAGTGCAGACGCTGTCCTGGTTTTCTTCAGAGACCCAAACAACTGGGTATAGCAGTGCTGTTTATCAAACAGACACAGCGTACTGGAGGGAAATAGGGGCTGACTTCAATGTCTAATGTTGAGATGTTTTTGAAAATTACAACCCTGTGAGAAGTAAGCCAACAAAGTGTACCTGTTATTATGGTATGATGCTGTTCTTGTCTGTAAACCCAGAAACACAGAGGGAATTTCACGTGTGCAAAGACCAAGTGATTTGCTTGCAACTTGCTTGGAACCCTGACATACAATAACACACACACACACACACACACACACCCACACACACACACACACACACACACACACACACACACACACACACAACTAAACTTATGTTTTACTTGAGTGCAGCCATGTCTCTGTTTTTGATGGAAGCTTTAATAAGCAGACAAGTGGACGTGACAACTAATAGCTTGGGCCCAGTGCGCTACTTTGTTTGAACTGGTACGGCTCACCGTAAAGAACCCCATAAAAACATCCTCACAACGTAACTCATTTGCCATTAAATTAACAGGGAGACAAACCTTGAGGCACATATTGGATTATGTTGATTTGTTTTAGAACTCACTAAAACAGTGTGTGAGAACAGGTTTATTACTGAGTAGCTCTGACAAGGCCCTGCTTCTTGTTTATATAATGAGACACAGCATATGGCTTGCTGTAAATGACAGAGCGACAGTTTTATAGTTTTATAACAGTCTTTTTTTTCTTTTTTTTTTACTCTTTGTATAACAGATGATGCAATGGCAATGGTAGGGACAGAAATTAGATCTGTTCAATACTGATGTCTAAGCAGCAGTTTTGAAAAACGCTGGGCTCTGATATTTCTTCACTGCTCGCAAATCTTCAACCAGTTCTAGAAGTCCTTTATTTTTTCCTCTGAAGGTGGAGGTTGCATGCTAAAGAAGTTAAAAAAAGAAAGTTAGACATAAGTTTTTTTTATTTTTTATTTTTCACTTCAACCATTTGATAACGTGACAAAAATAACATTTATACGTAAAAAAAGGGAAAAAAAACTTTTCCAAATATGAATTATTTTTAAAT